ATTATTCTAGCATGTTTTGGCTCCACTCCAGCACATTTTTGGCTTTCATTTAACATGCTTGAGGTCTGATTTAAGTGGTTTTGGTCATGCATGTTTGGTTTTGCATAGCTATGGTGTATTTGGCTTTGCTAACCTTGCACTTTGGGCCCCCTAGCATGTCATATTTGAGCTATTTGCATGATATGGAATCATTTGGTAGGTAATTTCAGGCCATAAACTTCTTCCATGCTCTCATGATTATCACTTTTTCATTGTGTTTAAGAGTTTTGCCCTTATGCCTTGTTTGTGAGCTAATTCGGGAGCCTATCTTTCTTGCCATCTTTGTTGTGAGTCCAGCATGTTTTGCTAACATTTTGACCTGCCTTAGGTCCGTTTTGAGTGCTTTAGGTCATTTGAGCATTGTTCGGTATGGTTGTAGTATAAAGCCCTCGACTAGCTTTGTATTTCGGGCCTCTTGGCATTCTTTATTTGAGCTATTTGCATGATTTAGCAACCTTTGGAATGTAATTTCAGAGCTTACTTCATTGCTAAATTCTCACATTTGTCACCTCTTCATCATGTTTGAGAGTTGTGCTATTATGCTTAAGTCATGGGCCAATGCATGAGCATGCATTTCCTTACTTTTTCAAGCCATCGTTTCAGCATTTTGGCCACTAATTTGGGCGTGGCTGAGGTCTCCCCATTTTGGTTTAAGTCCATCTTTGCATGTCGTTGCATACTTGGCATGTTGCATGTTGTTGCATGCTTGCTAGTTTGCATGTTGTTGCATGCTTGTCCATCCTTGCATGCCATGCATGTTTGTATGTTTAGAATGCATTTTGCATGCTTGCAAATTTGTATTTTGTCACATGCTTGTTTAGGTTGCATTGCATTTGGCATGCTTGTTACCTTAGCCTTGCGTGCATGTTTGAGTCATATTGCATTTGGCATACATATGTTGCATTGAATAGTTTTTCCATGTTGCATGCATTGCATTGTGTTTGGTTTGGGGTGTCAAACCAAACATGAGGACCGAGGGACGTTTCGTACTTGAAGTAACGAAACGTGCCTCAATCCTCGGTCGCCGACACTCTTGATCCAACATGATAGAGTGTGAGGCATTCATATGTTTTTGTGCATTCATTCCATATTGATATGTGCAATTCGGCCTCTTTGGCCATTATGCATCGAAGTGCGTGATTGATGGCTCGAGAGTCGAACACTACACTCCTTTGAGTTCCAAACATGATAAGGGGTGTAATTGCACAACATTTTCTTGCAAATGTATTGCCATGCCCTTGTTTGTACTCTGCTGCAGCAAAAGGAGCAGTCTGCTGGAAGAGATGGCTGATCGGCTATCTAAAAGACCGATCGGCTAACAATTTTTGGCCGATGGATTCATAAGTGGTCGATAACCCATTTCCCTTGGCCGATGGCCTCTCAGAATGTCCTTGAAGCAGGTCAGAAGCATCATAGAAGTTGGCACAGTTTTCAGAGGTGCAGAACAGTGCAAAAGAGGCAACATGGGGCATGGCAACGGATTTCCGAGAGAAGCCGGCTGAGCGCGCATGCATCCCTCGTCACGAGGCCATTTCAGTGTTTTAATAACCTAGAATAGTTATTTGTTTCAATTTGGTTATGTAATAATTAATTAGCTTGTTAGTTAGTTAATTACTTGGCTTGTATTATTTATTCGGACCTTCCGTCGAGAGGGCGAATTTTGTAATAAGTGTGCGTGCGTGTGTGAATGTCTTCCAACCTCACGTCTTTCTCCCTTTTTCTTAATCGCTTACGATGGCTAGTTTTAGGTCATGTTTCAATTAGCATCCTTATGCTATGCATGTTTGCATCATTCATCTGTATTGCATGCACCGGGCTCGGCACATCATACTAACTGCATTGTATTTCAATTCCTACTTGAATACATGATTATGCCATCTTAGATTGGCTGAGCCTATTCTAGTTTCATTTTTGCATGTGTTGCATTAGGCATCTTAACATAACTAGGATCATGCATGATTTCTAACTAGCTATTGTTTTGGCTAGGAGTACTAGGTAAGCTTTTATGCTTTAGCATCTTGCATGAGTGTGAGTGTTAACATGACCGTATGCTTGCCATGAGGCTATTTGCTTAAATGATATAACTACCTGAATGCCTGTGGGTGAAGGTTGGGTTACTTGAATTGGAACAATTCATCGAAATGTGTGTTTTAAGCCCACTTTGCGGAGTGGCAAAATCATGTTTTCCTAAGCCCACTCGAGGGTGGCAAATCCACGTCTTAGCCTACTTGCGAGTAGCACCTTCAAACCATTTTCAAACAAACATGCAATGCTTTGTTCCAAATTAGGCGATCTAGTCTATACTTGTGTGTTATGCGTATCACATAGTAATTCTAGCTAATTAATCGGAATAAGAACACATGTATTTTCAAAAACAAAATATCATGCTTAGTATAGGCCGATCTTTGATCGGGCGAGCAGGGGTGCTCATAGATGACCTTCCCCAATCGTACCCAACTTCCCGAGCTGAGGCAACTTTGGTGATGACGGACACATGGCCTTAGGCAACAAGTCAGGGTTTCCTAAATTTTCCAAAATAAAATATTTAGGTGGCGACTCTGTATCTGGCAAAGCAGTTCATGTTTGGCATTTCTTTCTTAAAAATCAGTTTTCCAAAACGATTTGTCGGATTTGGACTCTTTGGTGATTTTGTCACGCCCCAAGCTCCGTGACAACGCCGCACACTCATTTAAGTGAGCATGCAAGGCTAAGAATCCAACACATAACCAACAATGTAAAATACTCAAATTAAATCCTTAAATATCATAATGCTAAAAACCATACAAATAGATAATTCTTATCATATGAAATTATCCACCAAGTCCACTAATAAAAATAATAATAATAATAATGATCCAAATACTCAAATCATAGTCCTACTCTCGGTACTCCCACAAGTAAAAACCCTGCACAGCTCTACTCCTCAGAATCTGAAAAATAAAATAAGGGTAAGCTAGACAGCCTAGTAAATAACCAACCATCACTATTAGCTTGATCAAGTATACAAAAAAAATAGTCGATAACCAATAAATATATTTTTTGCTACCATTCAATAAATGAACAATTATTTTGTAAGATGGTTTCGTAGTTGAAAATAAACATTGTAGCAATACATTTTAATTGAAAAGACAATGAGGTAATTCGATAAAATTTCGTTGTTCAAAATTGATGGTTCGATATTCAAATGGTTCAATGATGCAATTCACAAAACCCAAGTCTTGGTGACTACGGTCACTTAGCCCGTGACAAGGCCCAGAACCACACATAGGCCGGTGGTAAAGCCCCAAAAGAAACTAGTTTCTGTGCCAATAAATAACCCCCATTGGCTAGGGTCCAAATCATAGTCAGACTAGAGTGATGTTCAAAATTCAAACAATACACAACTTTCAAATAAAACATTCGATATTTTCAGAATAAATGTTTAGTACAATTTTCAAAATAGTTTCATCAAATATTCAAATAATTTTCATAATAATATTCGATGTTGTTTTATACTTGACCCATATTTTATTTTAAGAGAACATGAAGGATATAAATAAATATTTATGATTTTAAACGATTCGATAGGAATAAAAATGAACCAACAGTGATAGAGGGTTACTTACCTCAAACGCTTAGAAATAACACTCCAACAGCAACTCCAAACACCCAATTTCACCACTTCAATCACACAAACCTATTAAATAAAACTTCAAATAAATTAATATTTTTTACATGTTACAAACACCCACAAAAGCACCACTATATTAGAATAATGTATTACTTTAATATCCAAGAGATCAAACCATTCAACCCAACTTTATAGCCAAACACACCTTTACCCATGATACAAAACTCCATTGTTTCTATTACCCATCCAAAGTTACACTTACACATTGCACCTAATTCTCAAAACCTAAGTAGGCACCTATAGATCTTCCAAATCTCCTTAATGCAGTGATTGTTAAATTCCTCAACATAAACTTAATAATTAACAGTAAAGACAGATTTTACCTTAACCAATGGGTGTCCCAAAAATCACCAACGTGCTGCCTTCAATCCCTATTGTAGCCTCACTTGAACCTCTCTTCTCTTTTTCTTTTCTTTTTTCTTTTACCTTCTCAAACCCTAGCCGCCTATGGAGCAATTCATAGCCTCTGTTTTGTTTGTTTTCCAAGACTTAAAGCCACAATAGGTGGGCATATTAACCTAATTTCACAAAGTTACAAAATTACCCATCTAAGTAATAGGAAATATAATGCCATCTCATAACTAATTCTTTGATATTAATAAATGACCCATATAAATTAATTTAATTACTAATCTATCCAATAAAATAATCCTACACACAACTTGGGTTTTACAGATTTATCGGTCTCGCATTGTACTTTGCGAGATTAGATTCAGAACCTTAACATTTGAATCCGAGCTGTAGCATGAAGCCCTCAGGGCGCATCTACAGATACATTGCTTATGAACCCTTTACTTTTGTGTGCATGTTAGTGGTTCAATATTTTATTTATTTTACGTGTGTACCAATATTTTCCCTCCCAAACATACATTAATGTATACTAATTGGGCGTTGTTTTATTTATTTTTAAAAAATAGTATTAGTTATGACCCAATGTGACTATAATCAATGACTCATTTATTTTTTCATTCAAAATTTTAAATCTAATGACTTAAAATGTGCCTGCGTATGATGTGCATATTTTTGTGTGTATAGTAGAATTTCCCTATACCCAAATCTAACAATTGTATCATTATTGTTGAAAAATGGTAGTTTATACTCATTTTTAATAAAGTACGGTCTATTTTGATTTTGAAATTTTTTGCACTGACAACACAAATCGAACCAACAAAAATATTATATTCAAATGCTTTTTCATTAATTCTATGAGCGAAGATAAGTAACTAATAATATACATTTTGTAGTAAAAATTAAGGAGAAAGGCATTTATAGAACAACTTTTACTTTTTTTTCTTTATTTATTTCCAAAGTTAGATTCTACAAGTTTTTACAAAATCCTTCAAAACCCATTACAAAGTATTTTCCCTATTTCTTCTTATGCGCTAACTTTTTTTCAAAGTTGAGCGTCCAATTTATCTTTTACTGAACAACAAATATATAATTTCTCTTAAGTGATATCATGGTGAGCCATACCTCTATCTTGCATCCATTGCAGAAATAGAAAGCCCATTCACTGAATATTTTCCCAACTTGCTTTTGTTTGAATTTTCCTCAGCTACACCAATTCTAGAGACAAATGCTGGTTTCTTGGGCATTGGCAAAGCTATGTTGTCATCGATTAACATGGAAATAACGTCTGACATGGTTGGTCTATCGACTGCACAATCTTCTACACATAAGAGACCCACTTGAATGCATCTCAACACTTCTTGTTGTATAGATGAATCGCTTAGCATTGGATCTATAAGCTCTAGAGCAGCATTTTTGTTCCACAAATCCCATGCCTGCAATGTCCAGATTGTTGGTTAAGGTGTTATTAATGACAGTGTCGTGAGCAAAACATACAAACTTGAATGTGAGTTTTATAGTACTTACATATCCTACTAGGTTGAGTGGCTCATCAACATGGTAGAAGCTGTTGTTCTTTCGACCGGTCACTATTTCAAGCATTAAAACTCCAAAACTGAAGATATCAGATTTAACAGAGAAAATACCCTCCATAGCATATTCAGGAGCCATGTAACCGCTGTAAAATAGATTCAATAAAAACTTGATCATGTGAGTTAATTAATAGCAACCTTGCGGGAATACTATAGTAAACCTCACAATCCCATACAAAATACATATTCACATATATATTTTCCCACTTGCTATGTTCCAACAATCCTTTCCGTATTCACTTCCAACACATTCTGCTTGAAAATTCTTGCCATGCCAAAATCGGAAATTTTAGGGTTCATGTTGCCATCAAGTAATATGTTGCTGGCTTTCAAATCTCTATGAATTATCTTCAACCTTGAGTATTGGTGGAGGTAAAGTAGTCCTTGAGCTATCCCTTCGATGATGACAAAACGTTTCTCCCAAGTTAATTTCTCCTTCTGAGAAGGATCTGCCCAAAGTAAGTTAGAATTGAAAGATTGTATAAGAACTACATTTGCTTTTAGTAATGATGCAAACAAGAGTAAAGGCATTTCTAACCAAACAGGAAGGAGTCCAGGCTTTTGTTGACCATATACTCATAGATTAACATCTTTTCATCTCCTTGAATGCAACATCCCACAAGACGGACTAGATTCACATGTTGGAGTTTGGCAATGAGTATGAGCTCATTCTTGAACTCCACTACTCCTTGTCCTGACGTTCTTGACAATCGCTTTACTGCAATTTCTCTGCTATTGGTCAACCTTCCCTGAAGTAAATGATCATTAGTAAGGTAACTTAATGCTAATGCAATAATCTTTTACTGAAATATTCAATTGTTTTTTTCCTAGAGTAGTGTTATACAAATGAATAGCTTTACAACCACCCTCTAAGCCAAAAATGCCATCTTTTCTTTTGTTTTCATGATTTCTTCCTTTTAACTAGAATGAAAAATGACAACTCAATTTTAGATGACTTTTTTATCCGTTTGATTTATTCTACCTGATTTTGTTTGTACTAGCTGTTCATAACAATAAGTTCTAATATACCTTGTAAACAGGTCCAAAGCCGCCTTCCCCAAGCTTGTTTTCCAATGAGAAGCTATTTGTAGCAGCAATGATGCTTCCAAAACTAAATATTTTTAAATCATTGCTCTGGTTCCCATCAAGTTCGAGTTCATTTGTGACCGTGTACCCATTGGGTGTCATTAATTCAATTAGATCTTTCGTGTTCCTTGTTTCATACTTCCCTATTTAGATCAACACACAAAACTGAAATTGTCATGGACAACTATTAAGAGGATCTTCAATATAATCATAATCTACTATTTGTTAAGAGGTGTACCAAGCAGTCTAATTTTTCTCTGTTTCGTGTAGCACAAGATCCCAAAGACAAGCATAACAAATATTGCAATGGGCACAGCAATGGGAATCCATATATGCTTCCCTCCTGCATTGAGTTATAAATGGTAAACTTCTATAACGTAGCATGGTTCATGTACCCAAACAAAATGAGTAGGCATGGTTTGCGTCTTAAAAATAGGAGTAATGTTATATATCCCTAATTTTTTTTTTTCACAATTTCATTCCATTGTGAACACTGTACTTATCAATAAATTATTTCTTTCACGATTTCCTTAATGATTATTTCTCAACAAGAAACCGATCATAAGTATTCAAGTAGGCGGTAATATGAAACATAGACGACAAAATAGTGATATATACCATTTTTGTAAAAATAATATATGGTATGTTGGAGAGTCAAAAGGTGAAAAACACCTGAAATTTTGTTGATGTTACTTTTGGAACAAGAATACATGAAAATTAATAAGTGGCTAGTTATTATAAATCCACATGACATTTGGAGAAAATTCGGTATTCAGTAAAATAATTACCTACGTGGTAATTGTATTTCAGAGGGCATAGTGGGCTATTAAAGAGCCCACAGACGAAAAGGTGCATTAGCCTACAAGCCCAGTTTCGGCATATTATTCATAATTTAATTTCAAGATCACTTGGCAATTGAAAAATGACTTATTTTGGCATTCAGATAATGAGTCTATGGCCCAACCAAATCTTTAAGGCTAATTAAGGCCTCGGTTAAATGAGGCAAGTGCCCTAGAACCTAGACACGTTTTAGACATTTGAAGGGACACATACATGTTCATCACTTAAAACACATTATAAGGTTGAATAAATAATTTAGAGGATATAATGATAAAAGAAAATTCATATAGATGTATACTTATAATCCCTCTTCCTTTGAACTTTAGAAATTACTGTTGTGTTGTATTTTTTGTATGTGGTACTCATGGTTTTGATGTTTCTGTTGTGTGCATAGTGTTCGTATTGGACACGTGTTGGACATGGATACATACGTGTTGGACATGGATACATAGCTTGTTAGAAGTGTACGTGCTTCTTAGATTAGTATGTACTATCTCTAAAATTAGCTCCTATTGAAGAGTGATTTAGTAACTTACTGTTGTGTGGCGGTGGCTGATCTGAACTAAGAACATAATGCCTCGCTGAAGAACCGGCATAATCTTGAATGAACTCCAAATCTTTTGTCCAAAACAGACATCCAGTCCCACCAATATCAGCCATAAAGCCAATGCAATCACAAACATTCCAGCACTTCTCTCTACAATCACTGAGACCAATGCTTGTATTTCCATCATAAAACGATGCTTTATCGCTGTCATTAAAATGCCCAGATCTTTCATCAAACTTTTGGTATCCATTCCTGCACTGAGGCTGCTTCCATAGTTCACACCCTTTATCTTTGTTGTACCCATAACAGAGATCGACTTGTGCAATCATAGGCCTATCTCCATCATATATCCAACCATGGTAATCTAACAACCATCCTGATATAACCTTTCGATCCTCAGGCGTAAAAAAAAAAATCCTTTATCAGTGAATAACTAAGTACTCCTCATCCATGGTACTAACATTGGTGAATACATAATTCAAATTAGATGGATCAATAGTTATAAACTCGAAGTTTTTGTCCCCCAAGACCCCACTACTCCAATGTATCACCCCTCGTTGCCTAACAATTAATCGGCGTTTAGTGGGATCCCATTCCAGAGTGAAAGCCCCAGAAGCTGGTACATCTTGTCCTACCCATGATGTGATTGACCACTTCTGGCCGGTCCTGTGGTTGACCCCTAGCTTCATGCCCGGTAGAAGTGTGTCGGTAGGATAGTCAAAGCTTTCCCACAATTCCGTTTTCTTGGATCCATTGTTGTTTGCCACTGTCACAATGAAATTGCCAGAGTCAAACAGAGTAGCAGCTACGTTGGTGCCGGTTAGACCCCCATATAGTTCAATAGGATCTCCTCCATTATGTGTGATAATCAATTTGCCAACACTGTCTATAGTGAGAACACCAGAATTGTCAGCAATAGGTGTGTTTCTGTTTCCAACCCATACCTTCCTGTAACTGTCATTGGAGTACCATATTCCTAAGTAACTGTCATTGGAAAATGTTGATGGTATAAAGAATCCCAGTGTGAAGATCTTTCCTGCAGAAACTAGGTAAGCAGAGGAATTGAGCTTATCGCCTTGGTTGAGCGTGTTGACCCATGATGCATCAAGAGAATCCAAGAAGCATAAGATGATGATAAGAAAGAAAATTATCATGATCATGAAGGTTTCCTTGACAGTCATAATGAGAAATTCTTAGACATTGGAGGTGTAGGCTACATCAGATGTATCACCTATGTATATATGGAAATTCTTATATTAATTCATGGCCGGTTGATTAAGTCAATAAGTCAATCCATTCCTTTTATTAATTCAAGTTTTTAAAAATTTTCCTATTAGTTTGAGATTAATCATTTGATTATTAAATGCAGATAGGACAAAAGCAGGTTTCAGATATGCATAATTAACAATGGGAAGTCAAAGTTGCTACATTGTTTCTGGCTTTAATTTATTTTTTCTATTGTTGCAGTTTCTCTTTCTCTGATGTGCTCCAGTTTATCTTATTCTCTTGACTTGCAGGTAGCGGTCAAGAGAAACTTTTGTCTCCTGCTATTTTTTATGTTGTACACATAGATCTAATCTATTGATGGCACTCTACAACAATTACAATTTGTTTGCAAAGACTTTTCGTCAAAGAATCTTGAAAAATACTGTTAGCAAAAAATCTGGTCTGGGCCACAGGGGTGATTTGACAGAGAAGCCAAACTCTTACAAACAACAACAAATCAAGCAATGGTGGTCTGAACGTTCTATGCCTTGACAGATTCAAGGACTTCTTTGGAGGCTGTAATACGAAGAAACACGAAGGAATAAACTGAAAATCAATTGTTGAACAAACAAACTTGGAATTTGATTAGTGAAATTAAACTTCCAGTTCAATGTACATGACAATTGACAGGGAATTCTTAGTTACAAAAACTGAACTACAGATAGACTACTCCTAAGTAAAAACTAACTAAGTTAAGTTACTCCTAATGCTATAAGGATTGTAAATTTGTTTGAAGCCCTTCTAACTTCAAATTCCCAGCTTTTATATTGCTGGTCTTCAAACTCCACTGCTGTTCTGCTACCACGTGTCCCATCATATAGCCAACTACCTCCACTTCAATGCCCATGATCTCTGTAACTGCCAGCAACTGCTTCTCTGTTGCAGCTTTTCTCCTTCTAGGACACATGACACGTATCCTGTATGCCTTGCATGCTAACTTTATGGCTTGACGCCTGGGCCATGTTTGGCCACATTCCCCTTCATTACTGGACGAATCGACAGGAAAACTGCAACTGCCACGTTTGTCTCTTTGACTATTGCCTTTTTGTCACTTGCTCTGTATTCTAGGCTTCATATTCATTCGCTCTTCACTTGTAAACTTATGGAAACTTGTGGTCCTTAAACCTAGCATCCGCTGGACCAATTCCCTGCATTTGTTACAAACAATCGACAGAGAATATACAATTTTTTAGTGTCAACAATGCCCCCCTCATTCAAGACAAAGAGGAATTTTTGCCTTGAATGATTAGTTAAAAGAAATAAAGTTTGGACATTTAAATATTTGGGCTGTTTATCTGTAATTTGTAATAAGGCCCAAATGCTAAAAATTAGTCCAACATAATTTCCCAGAATTTTGAGTAAGCCCAACTGATCAAACTATCAAATAAAGCCCAAACTTTGAACCGTTTCAAAAAAGGGCCCACTACGAGCTATTTGAATGCCAGAATTCAAATCATCATTCCACTATTCTCTATCTTTCTTTGCTATTCGCTTCTTCGAACCTCTGACTTCGAAAAACCCTTCTGCTCACACTCTCTGATGGCGCCCAAACGAGATGAGGTCAAAGGAAAGAAACAAACTGAGTCATCACCTGTCCAACGCTTTCCAATCGATTTTCAACAGCTACTGCGTCAAAACATCTTTAACAGTTGCATTATCCCACACTATGGCAACCCTGGAAAAGGACAACTGGGCCCTACTTTCAATATAACCATTCCTGATGAACTTACCCAGTACTATCCTATTGCAGACACTAAAACATTACTCTTTAACAAAGTAGAGCTGTCATGGAAACATTGGGATTCCAGCCCTAATCCTCTACGCACATGGCAAAAACCCAATCCAGACTGGAAACGATGGGTCCGACGAATGATGGTATACGACATAGATCTCTGGAGAGTTTTAGGTATTTATGATGCCATCAGGTTATCAACTTTCTCTTTAGATATGGACAAATGGGCCATTGGTGTTGCTACATGTTTTTGGTCTTCATCATGTAATTCCCTCATTCTAAAATGTGGTATGATGTCACCTACTATTCTTGATGTTGTCCATTTACCTGGCCTTCCTTGTTCTAGTCAACATATCAGTGCCCTTTTAACCCCAAAAACACCTATCAAATTGGACACTACCCTCTGTTATGGGAAATTTCAAAAGAAGTACCAAAAATTTGGCATTGAACCCACAGATGAAGAAAGAACAGCTTTTTATTTACTATGGCTTTCCCAACACTTCCTTTGTGTTCCTGGTTTGAAAATTACTAAAGAATACCTACATTAGCCACTTGCATTCAGGAGGGTATAGAATTGGCTCTTGCCCCCTTTTTACTAGGCACCTTATACAGAGGTCTTTTTTCTTTAGTGGATAAAGAAATTGATCATAATGGTGGTGGTCCTTTCTGGCTTCTTCAAGCATGGTTGTATGCTTATTTTCCTAAAATCAGACCTACCACTCAGACTCCATTTCTCCCCACATGCCAAAGTTATGCTGAATTTTTTCTTTCCTTCAGACCAACCACCTCTAATTCTTTCACTAAGGTGTTCACTTTTCTTTATGAACTACCTATCGACAGACATCCTTAGCTTTTTTATCCCTTTTCACCAACTCCACTATACCTCATGTAGACTCACCTATGTCCATGATGATCCTTCTGCATTGGGTGATGAATTGAGACAACAACAAAAGCTTTTCTGGGCTCAGATCCTTACTCCAAGATACATTTTAATAGGAGGGTCCCTTTCAACTAACAGAATTTCTAACTGCAATTTTGAAAGTTATAACCCCTACCAATGGGCTAGGCAAATGGGCCTCTATCAAACTGTTCCTTGTCCATACTTTCATCCCATTATTCATGAGCAAGTTGGAGCTAGAATTCAATTCAAACATCAAACAGTTATGGAAGCCCTTCTAGCTCACAATCAAGAACTATTTGATCAATTCAGCTTCTACTACTGCAAAGCCACACCTTTTCTCTCTACAAGATTCAGAGACTGGTGGCTTCTTATGAATGCAGTAATCTTTAATAAAGAAACTCAAATATGCCTCTGGAATGTGCATCCTGACAACAAAAAAGGAGCGACCATGAGCATTGGTAAACAACTATCTCCTTCTTACTTTATATATATATATATATATTTAATATATTAAGTGTATAACAGCATGTATCTTTTCCACATATATGCAGCTGAGTCCTCAGTCAAAGCCATTCCTTTGGCTATAGAAATGCCTACTTCCACCAATACTGAAGGTTTCACACCTTACAACCTAGGTGTGGAGACTGAACGAAGGGTTCAAACTAGAGAAGAAGAACTTCAAAAATTCTTTGCATCTCAACCACAACCAGAATGTGGTATTTATCAACCAACATCAAAAGGTGATACAACACGTGAAAGGAGATCTAAAAGACAAGAGGAGCCACTTCCTCCATCATCTCCGGCTGCACCAGCTTCTTCCTCTTCCAGTGGTGCAGCCTTGTAAGGAGACCTAAAAGAAAGCAAGAACAACCAGTTTCTTCACAAGCTCTTGCTGCACCAGCTTCTTCTTCTTCCAGTAGTTCATCTTCTCATCCAACAATAGTATGAATCTTACTCAATCTGTCAATTTTGTTACCATTTTAAACATGACATTCTATTTTGCTTGTCTAACATTTTCTTCTTTTTCTTTCAAACATATCTTAAGTCATACAAAAAGAGAAGACTTGTCTCTTTGACCACCTCTTCTTCTTCTCATGAAAATATACCTGAAACTCATACCAACCTACCTCCTCCTCTTCCTAAGACTCTTCCTGAGAATGAAGAACTAGCTGAGGCACAAGTTATTCCTTCTGAAAACCAAACTGAATTGCCAGAGTCTCAACCAAACCCCGTTGAGAAAGAACAAATTGACCAACGAAGAGCCATTTTAAGAAACTTGGCTCCTGAATTGGCTCAAATTTTGTCTGAAATTCCCCAAGAAGTGGCTGTAGGAGACCTCATGGCCTTCCCTCTTAGAGGGGTGCCACATGGAACTGATGAAGTCATCACTTTTCCTGGTGTGGCCTCTTCTCCAGAAGAATCAACAATCCCTGAACATGCTCAAGAAGATCCAGCTAATTTAGACCATGCCAGAGAAGCTCCAATTGACTTACCCGCTAATTCTGACAGCCACACATCTCCTATCGACAGAGGTTCTCCTGTCCATGAGCATGTTTTTGA